GGAAGACTGGCGCCTCTAAGAGTAACAGGCTGCCCGGAGAGGACACAGATGAAAGGAGGACCACCTTCCAATGCCTCTCTCCAAAGCAGAAACATCCAAATAAAGGATGTTGATTTTCAAGACCCCATCCCTTCATGAGTGCGTATCCAACTGGTATATGCTCTGCTGTCTCTTCATCTGGTAGCCAAGACCTTGTACAGGTTGAGTATCCTTTATCCAAAATGCTTGGGACCAGAAGTGTTTTTAATTTCAGATTTTTTTTCTGATTTTGGAATATTTATATCATACCTCCTGGTTGAACATTCCAGGCACAAAAATCTGGAGTTCAATAAGCATTTCCTTTGAGTGTCATGTCAGTGCTCAAAAAGTTTTAGGCTGGGTGTGGTGGCTCATGCCTGTAATTCTAGCACGTAGGAAGTCTGAGGCGAGCGGACACCTGAGGTCAGCAGTTCAAGGCCAGCCTAACCAACATGGAGAAGCCCCATCTCCACTAAAACTACAAAATTAGCTAGGCCTGGTGGTACATGCCTGTAATCTCAGCTACTTGGGAGGCTGAGGCAGGAGAACCACTTGAACCCTGGCGGCAGAAGTTGCGGTAAGCTGAGATCACACTATTGCACTCCAGCCTGGACAACAAGAGCAAAACTCCATCTCAAAAAACAAAAAAAGTTTTAGATTTTAGAGCATTTCAGATTTCAGGTTTTTGAAATTGGAATACTCAACTTATACTCTCTCCTTGCTCCACCCCTACCAGACCCTCCCCACAGGAATGAATTTAGATCTGAAAACTTGCATGTATACCAGTGTAGCTACATTATGTCTGGGTAGGACTTCAACTTAGAAATGATTTCTGAAGATGCCAAGGGAGTCAGTGTGTCTGTGTGTGTGTGTGTGTGTGTGTGTGTGTGTGTGTGTGTGTGTCTAAAATAAGCCTAAACTTTACAGTATACACAACATACTAGATTTAATTAATAAACTCTACAAATAGCTCTACAAATAATAATGCTCTACAAATTACTACTTAAACTATTTTATGCCTAGGACATCTCTTATCCTCCTTTATTCATTCTATCTCTAATCTTTCAGTATTTTTTTACCTACATTTCTTGCCATACTTCTCTCCTTCTTGAAATGTGTCTCCTCCACTTTGGGAGAAGTGGAGACATTTCCTGTTCTCTGAACCTACATAAGCAATTTATTATCTGTAGAAACTGCCACGAATCATCATAATTTTAAGATACTGAGATTAAAGTCCTCCTAGGGATCTCAGAGCGCTTGCTGGATTGCCGTATTCCGTCTGATATAAGCTCCCACACCATAGAGAAAAGTGATAAACCAACATCCTGTGAGATGGACCCAGCACCAGGTCACATTAGGAGGGTATCCATGGAATCACCAAATAGAATGTAGAAACCAGAATTCCCAGCTCTTCAGAGTACACCCCAACCAAGCTACTCTGTCACCCATTTGGCCATGAAACCACAGCTCTGCCCATGGGAGCTCAGAGACTCAACTCATTCTCAAATATGACTTCCTGTGTGAAACAGCCTCTTCTCTTAGAAACCAGAGGAGGTTTCACTTTGTCTTGACTCTCTCTTAGCCATGACTCTTTTTCCTTTTTTCAATAAAACAAACAAACAAAAAGCTATACTTCTCTAGTATAACCTGTTTGTATTTTCTGAACACCAAATATTGAAGGGGACACTTCTTTGCTTTGGCTATCCAGGATCCCAAAGCGATAAGCCATCAACAAATGTCCTGGATCGGATGGCTTATAATTCATCTACTTCTTGCCACTACCTTTCCTTTACTGTTTCGCTTTTTCTGTCCTACTCCTTCTACTTCCGTTACTTATTTGCATTCTGTAACGGTGTATAATAATTAAAGTCATTTTATTGAATGAGATAACTTAAGAAGCTCTATATGAATTAAGTAAGCTATTTCACTAGTACTGTGGTAATGGCTATGCATATTTTGTATTCACTGATGAGCTGCTTGAAAAATAATTGGAGAGTATCTGTTATGCAGAATATGGATGAGAGGTCTTTCCAAGTGAAACCCTAGGTCCAATTAAAAATAACTATGGTGTCTACTAGGTATCTGTGTGATGATGGACCAGTTCACTCTGCAGATCTTCCTAAACCAGAAGATACTACCATGAATTCTTATCAACCTTGGCATGGGGCAGTAAGCATCAAATCATTTGGCCGTAATGAAATGAAAAGCAGGTTTTCTAGGCTCCATGGGACTAGACTTGAACTCTGTTTCTACACAGTGTCCACGGCCATTGTTCTAGAGGGGTAACACATGTAGAATACTGGGAGTTTCAAGTAATTAATCTTGGTTGATGTTAGAATGATGTTCCAAAATATCTGATGATATCAGCCAAACCACTGAGATAACATTTTGAAGAGCTAGAATTCCACAGCTAATATTTGGACATATTTTTACATGTGTTTGTTTCTATCTGTTATGAGTTTCAAAGGCTTGACATATTTTCTACTCAGGTACTCTGAAAGTAAAATCACATACAAGACAGAATTTTAGAAGGAAGCCCAATCCATGTAAGTCCCTTATGACACATTCATAGCACAAAACTAAGAAACTTAAGAATATTTAACTTCCATCAAACAGTAAAATTATCTTCCTACAAGAAGTGATTCCAAGTCCAAGCTGCAATTGTTCATTAAGCTGGCAACAGATTATTTCTTTTATTTTTATTTTTATTTTTACTTTAGGTGCATACCATATCTGGCATTTCTCCCTATGTTATCCCTCCCCACCCTCAAAGAGATTATTTCTTAGAGACCCAGGAGGATTAGTGAATGCTGCTTAGTGGCAAGAGTGGATTCTACCAGCCCAAGCTTTAGTTTGGCAGAACCTACCTCAAACAGGGTTTTGCTCAAAAAGATCTTAAAAGGAAATGTGCATAAAATGCAGGGAAAGAATGGAAGAATAACAGAAAGGATAGAGAATAATCTTTGGGGAGAGAGAAGTATGGTGTTTGCTTTCCATTGTGTGTGTGTGTGTGTGTGTCTGTGCATGTCCAGAATATTCCTACACCTCAAGGTGGGAGATGTCTAGGATGTGTCTAGTTCACCCTTCTGTCCAACACATAACTCATTTTTCCAACGATGTTAAGGGCTGATATAGCATTTTTCTACTTAAATATTACCAGTGAGAGAAAACTCACTATTTCAGTAGACAAGTCACTTAATATTTAGATAACTATAATGTTTAGAAATTTTTTCTCATCATTTCCCTGTTAGTCTTCCCTTCCTTAGAGTGACATACAGCCTATTATAATCTCCCTTCCATAGGCTAATCCTTCACAGGTATTTGAAGGCTGTTAGGATAATCATGATGATGTTGATGATAATGATGGTGGTGGTAACTATCACTGTCATCAATAATAAAATCATGCCATTTTTCTTGAGCACTTCTTGTAAGTGCTATGCTAAGCATTTTATACTTTTATGTCATTAATTCTCACAACTTGATGAAATAGATCCTTTTCAAAAGTTTATTTTACAGATGAGGAAACTGAGGCCTTACAGAGATGAAGTCTCTTGCTCTGGGTAGCAGAGGTAGGGATTAGAAATCCCAGAAAACAGCTGGCATTAGACACCGGCCATCTAACAGGGTAGACTCCTTAAACAGTCTCTCTTCTGGTTTCACGTTAGTGATTTATATTGAAGAGTATGTCTGCAAATGTGTGTTTTCCCAGCGGAGGATTATAGAGACCAGATTCCACCACTTGCTGCATATTCTCATGCACAGAGTCATACTTTCAGTGCATTCTTCTCTCGCCACGTCTTGCTTAGAGTGCGGTGTTTTTTAAAATTCCTTGTGTCAACATAAATATTGTTGGAAACCATAGGCATTGAAAATTGAAGGCCAGCAGTTCCCTTGCACCAGTTCAGTAATTTTTCAAATTGACTTTCACAAACTGAGATATCTGAGGCACAAGAATTCACTTACAGTAGAGTTAGAGGAATGTCTTCCCAAGAGCACATTGCCCAGCATTTAATTGCTCTTCCATAAATATGTGTTGAATGAATGAGTAGCTTGGTGAATTCCCTAAGAAGTTAATGTCTAGAGCTGAGAGCAGTAAAAATTTTTCTGTTTATTAAAAAACCCCTACATTTTAGCTATTCTTTTTTTTTTAAGTTGAGACTGAAGATATGTAACAAGTTTATATTTTTTCTGTTGACTTGACTCACCTTTGTAGATGTCTTAGGCTGCAGTTTTACTGAGAGTCACTTTTTGGGCATTATGCCTTTTCATTTTTAAGCTTCCGGAAGTATCCAATCTCATTACCACTGAAACATCAAATCACAAGATCCTCTAATTTGCCTGGGAGCCACTCCTCTGAGAAATCTGGCCTCTTATACATGTTAAGAGGAGTTCCTGGAGTGTAAATCTGTGTTTTCTAAATTCTATTCCTTGTGAGCTTTAAGGAACTTGCGTTTTTGGACAGGTATTTTTTAAATGCCCTCTTTGTTGTCTTGTCCACTGATATGACATGTTTCACATCTATTGAAAGGAAACAAAGCAAAGCTGAAACATTTGTTGTAAGAATCCAGGGGATTAGGAAAAGTGGAAGGGAAGCACTTAGGAAAATATTCCTAAACTTTATCGCTTATAACAAAATTACCTGATTCTTTTCATAGAATATTCTTTTGTGTGTTTGGTGTTTTACATGGTGAACGAGATATGGAGTGTAGGTGTATTCTCCAGAGAGAGCTTATAACACTTCTATCAGTGTCATACTTTGTATGGCTTAGGCCACATGTCCCTAAGTTTTAGAGACCTAGCACACCTCAGAGACATTTATCTGCCACCAATTTAGAAATGAGTTGCTACATTATTGCTCAACCCCTGGGGTAGAGATGCTTTCTTTCTGGTCTTCAACGGTAGCTATAGCGGGTCCAGGGGTATTCATGCAAGTCTGTTTTTTATGTTGCTAATGGTATTTGGTTTTGTGTTGCCTTTCCTAGGTTTGCTGGGATGGGAAACCTGCTCAAAGTCCTTACCAGGGAAATTGAAAACTATCCACACTTTTTCCTGGATTTTGAAAGTAAGTTTCAAAAATCGTAATAGAAACTTTTTTTACATCACTTAGTTTGTTGATAAGGAAGTTATAACATAAAGATGTTATATGATACTTTAACCAAATCGAAAGGTCACTATATTAGTCTGTTCTCATGCTGCTACTAAAGACATACCCGAGACTGGGTAATTTATCAAAGAAAGAGATTTAACTGACTCACAGTTCCACATGGCCCGAGAGAGGCCTCACAATCATGATGGAAGATCAAGGGACATCTTACATGGCAGCAGGCAAGAGACAGCTTGCGTAGGGAAACTCTCCTTTATAAAACCATCAGATCTTGTGAAACTCTTATTCACTGTCATGGGAGCAGTATGGGAAAGACCTGTTCCCATGATTCAATTACCTCCCATGGGGTCCCTCCCACAACACATGGGGAATTATGGGAGCTAGAATTCAAGATGAGATTTGAGTGGAGACACAGCCAAATCATATCAGTCACTATGCATTTTTTTTCTGAAATCATCTCTAATGTCATTTTTCTTCTTCTTTATCCTAATTTTTAAGAAATCCAATGGAAAATGTTTTTAATGCACCCATGGTTTTCTTTGATTTTAGAAGTGATCAACTTTTGTATCCCTAGCATAAATAGAGGATCATTTTGGTCTTTGTTTTCCTTTTGAAGGTCGTAAGCCCACAAAAGTGCACACAGAGGAAAAAAAAAAAAAAAGATGTGAAGAAAACCATTATGTATTTTTCCTAAATATGTATATGAATTACTGTATCACATTCCAAAGAAAATACTAAGGACAGTAAATTACAAAGATTCATATAAAACAAATATTGCTAAACATGAAATAAAATGGTTATCAATACTAGAAATAAGGCTTACAGAATATTTTTAGTCATTTTCTTTATTCTTTATGTAGTATTTGGTTTTAGGAACCATTTCAGGATTTTGACTATATATATTATATATATATATATATTTTACATATATAATATGTATATAATATTTATTATATATATATATAATCTTTTATTCAAAAGGTTATGTTTCTCTTATCAAAAGCTTTAAGTTTTTCTGAGGAGAAATGGCTTAAGAATCATGACTGAAAAAAACAAAACAAAAGAGATACTCTTTCTTGTTTGTTGATTGAATATATTGACAAATGGGAATGAGGACATAAACGAGGCACATTTATGTTTACTCAAACTAAGCTCGTGTTTCTTCCTCAACTCTCATGTTCACCCCTTTTCAAAATTCCAATTCCACAATAGCAAGCACAGTTAAATGTCTTTTTTTTCCTGGTAATCACCATCTGTTACACACTCTAATCTGCTTTAAACTTTAATTTTTCAAGTATTTTATCTCCATTAAAAATAATAGTTGGAACTTCCTTGCATATAGATTAAACCTTCTAACAGAAGTTTGCTAAGGAAATGCTGTAAGACCCTTCCAAGATGCACTGAACCAAAAGTAGAAGCTCCATAGGTGTAATTTTTGGTGTCTTTGGAGGGTTTTAAATAGCTTCTTGAAAAGGAAAAGTGTCCCCAAAGCTCATATATTCTGAAAACACATTTAATCTAGATTATAGTCGATGAAAGATTCCTCGCATTGCATTTAACTCAGTGTGCTATGTTGTTGTTATTGTTTGGCTTGGTTTGGTTTCGTAAGGGGTTTAGCTAGAGGCAGAGTGTGATGATATGTCAAATAAATGGGCTTTTTTTACTGGTTTAACTTTTGATATCCCTCTAAAAAATACACACACACACACACACACACATACACACGTTGTTAAAAGAATGATTTATTAATTTTTTAAAAAATTTTACAAAACAAATTAGCTATAATCTTACCACCCTTCTTTTACTATTTACATGTTTAATGGTTCCCATCCATTTCTTACCAGATGTATTTTACATTGTTGCATTCAGTGTGTACAAAGGCCGAAATAGTAATAACACGTCCCATTTATTCACAACTATGGGAGTGTGTAAAGGCCTGAAAGTAGGAGACTAGCTTGCTTGTTCTGTCTTGGAAGCCCTGAATTCTGTGTGCATCTGTGCATGCTCACATGTACCTCCCAGAATTCAGCAGCTCCACTTGCCTGCTTAGCTGTTCTTGGTCCCAGCTTTTTATGCTTCCAGAAAGAACAGTGTTGAGTTCTTGGTCAAGTCTAATCTCAAAAGCCTTTAAAGTGATCCAAGTAGAATTTGCAGGGATTTAAAACTGGTTCTCAAATGGTATTCCCCTGAGCATCAGTTTTCTGAGTCTGTGTTCAAAAACTCCATCCCTCACTGCCGTAGCAGGCAGGGAGGCGTTGACTGGGGCTTCTGCACTGCCCCCACCACCCCCACCTCCCGCTACTACCAGAGTACTGTGGGTTGCCCAATCTGGTACTTTGAATATTTTCTTAATGCTTTATGTAAAGAAAGATCATGGTGGCTAAATAGAGCATTTAGAAGTCTCAAATTTTGATGATGATTTATCATACTAAAACTCCATTTGTCAGTGTAATTTCCTCAAGAGAAAGAAGTGTGGACTGGATTCCCATGTCTGGTGGCTCATTACTGGGACTAGAGCTATAGTATTTAAGGAAGATGTAGAACTATAAATTTATAAACATATGTACAATCCTGCTTATTTCCTCATCAGTCCCATGGAGATTAACTTTATTCCACTGAGACTCTGAGAAGATAAATAAGTAGGGTGAAGTCACACAGGGAATGACTAGGAAATCAAGATGGGAACACAGATCTCTTTGGCTCTCCTCCTCCCCTGACTTTCCTTCCCTAAGCGCTCAGCACCAGCAGCTTCCTAGAAGAGCTATTGCCATTGTTCTGTCCTTGACCAGAGAGGGACGTCTTAGTTGTCTGCAAGCTAAGACATTTCGTGCAAAAAAAAATTTATCCTGAAAATCCTATTTCCTAAAGATGACTTTTAAGAAACAGTGATGATGGACTGGAGTAGAGAAGGTGGGCTGACATCTCATGATTTCTCCTTGAGTCACTGGATTTCAACTCTGTCCACTAAGGGTGTGCCGAGTATGGTTGTGAGTGTAATTGTAAGCTACTCAGTGTTAGAGACACAGAAGTAAAGAAGAGCGGTCATTGCCCAGTGAAGTCTCAGGCTAGAGTGGAGGACAATATAGGCACTGGGTTCAAGGCGAAATAAATAAAGGACTTATAAGGCACGGTGTGGCATGGGAGTAAGGAAGGAAAAGTGTACGTCTACTCTCAGGAGACAGAAGGCTATGGGAGGAATTGAAGAAGTCTTTTTGCAAGAACTGGCATTTGGAATGGGCTTTAAAGAATGAGTGGTTTTTCTACAGGCACAGGTATGGAGAGTTTTTTTACCAGATGGAAACAGTATGATTAAAGGCATAGAAACTGGAATAGGAAGGGCGTGTTTAAGAACAGCAAGAGGTTCCATTTAGACAAAACACCAAATGCTTGCTGGAGAGAAACGGGGAATGAAGTGGCAGGCTGGCTTGGGTTAGACTATGGAAGGTGAGGCTGCCAAGCTTATGAGCTTAGGGCTAGATGTCCAGAACTGGGGGTCACCTCTGAAGAGAATAGCATACATCCCTGAGAGAAAACCAGAGAGCTGAGCGGATGGGAACATTAGGCATGCTTAAGTTTAAAGGGGGCTTGGACTTGAGCAGTCCAAGGATCCATGAGAGAGGTCAGACTATGGAAGAAGGAGGACATCTTACTAACTTGAGATTCCTGGAGGCAGGATCTGGGTCTCCCTCAGTTTTGTGACCCTGCACTTAGCCCATGAATGATCCTCAATAACAGGTGCTGATCCCATGAGGGAACATAGTGAAGTGGGCTCTATCCAGGTAGTCAAGAGAGCACAGGTGATCAAGAAGGAGGGAGTGTAATGGATTCAATGCTGCAGAACTGTCAAGAACGAAGCTTGAAAAGGGGATGATGAATTAGGCAGTGAGCTTCCCAAGTAACTAGCGGCCTCTAGGGGAACAGATTCAGAATTTGTTGCTTTGAATATAGAGACTGGATTGTAAAGAGTTAAGGAGGAAGAGGTGTCGGGAGGGAGGAAGGCTGAACAGCACCTAGTAACACCTTTAATGAATTTGGCACCTCTACTTTGAGTGTTGAATATTCTTTTTGAAGTTAGTGATGGAATATAATTGAACTGGGTCAAATAGATATAATTAAGCTGGGTCAAAAAATAATACAAAATTAGACACATCTGTCCTTAGGTTTTCCAGTTGCATAGATCTGTTTTAATTTCTCGTCTGACCTTTGCAGCACATTTTATATACTTGGCATTCACATTTCTCTACAAATCACTTAACATCTTCTTTATTGTTCTTTTTCATCCCTCTATTTTTTTTCCCTTCTCTCTCTACTTCCTTGTCATGTCTCTATGTCCTCATTGAAGGCTAGGAAACGGGGGTGGAATGAAAGATTAATGCAGCAGCCTAATCTTTCATGAGTGATGGCTTCAGTTTACAGGGAGAAGTATGTCTGAAGCTCTACTCAAGATTGGGCAATCAGACCCACCATTATGGCACCCAACATAGGCAGCAGGCATTAACCTTTCCATGAAATAGTTTCAGTAATTCCAAGGCTGAAATGATCATTAGAAACATCTGGGGGAACCTTCTTTTTATATGATTACCTGAGCCTCACCTAAAAATTCAGATTCAGTTGTCTAGTCCCAAGAATCCATTTTTCCAACGTTTCCAGGTGCTTCTGATGATAAGCTGCTTTGTAAACCACCTTTAACTCATGCATCCAGGTGAGGATACGTATGTGGTGTTTACAACAGGGAAGCTGAGCCATGCAACTTTTTGAGCTCCAATATCCAAAGCTTGGAGTGGAAGACCTCCAAGTTAGGTAGAAGTGCAAGTAGATTAAAATCTATGCATTCTCACTTCAAATAAACCATTTCATTTTCAATCAGCAAGTAACTTGATCTGTCAAAGATTTCTTTTGGGCTTGATGGCCAATAAGCACATGAAAAGATGTTCACTATCATTCGTCATGAAGGGAAT